CTCTCTCAAAATAAATAAATAAACTTAAAAAAAAAAGAGTTTTAAAAATAGTCTTTGTTATTTAAGACTATTTAATCAATAGAGGGCACTGCAGTAATTGTTAGGACATTTTATTAAATCTATATAGTCAAAAACAAGCATATAGATATTAATACATAGATGATGTTCAGTTGATTAAAATGTCTAGAAAAATAAATAAAAGCACTATACTAAGTGGTTTTTCACAGTCACCATGATATAAGGAATTTCTACACATTTACATTTAGTTAACATGTGTCCTATACATATTTAAACATCATTGCCTGTTAGCAATAACATTTTTTAGGATTGTTTTCCGTATGTAATTAAAACGGATCTGAGTTTCATTGGCAAGTTCCCTGGGCTATAAAATCATTGTTTATGACACCCTTTTTTGCAACTTGAGCAGTCTTTGAAGCACTTTCTGACTTTAATGTTGCCTTGAAAATGTCACTGATAAAAGAAAAAGACCACAGTAAGGGAGTTTCCTTAGGAGGTTTCATAGTTTAGAAAGTATTTAGCAACTTTCATAGTTTAGAAAGTATTTAGAAGTTAAATATGAAATGTTTTATTTAAAGACAGTGGCTAAATCCAATTAAACCTCATTATTACAGACTCTACTAGTTCAAAAAAGGTTATATCTGAAGTAGGAATATAAACTTCTGCTGTTACTCAAGGAAGCAAAGAATTTGATTATCAAATTAATAATGTATAAGAAAGTTAGAAACAATTTAATTAAGAAAAAAATTCAAACTTTTAATGGCATTCTTTCTTGCCATTCATTATGAATAGCCTCTTGATAATGAATGCTTGTTATCTACTCATTAACAGGCACAGATAAAGTACACTTATTAAAACCATTCTTCTGTTTCTATTTTCTACTAATTTAGGCAGATAGAATTTTCTCATTTACTCTAAATTAAGTTTTATTCCATTGCTCTTTGCCTTCTTCTTGTACCTTTCCATTTATGGTTTATACATGTTTTTACCCAGCTCTTGCCCTCTTGTCCATTTTCGAATTCCCACTTCATCCAGTATTTCAGTATTATGCTCCATTCCTTCCACTTGCCTGTGTTCTTACACTTAGGTTCTTTCTCTCCATTCTCTTTCCTCTCATCTTTGCTTCTCAATCACTCTTTCTAGGTTTCACTTCTGGATTTTTATATTTTTCCTATTTTCTCAAAACTGCAAGGATGTAAGGTGAATTAGAAAAAAGAGGCATGAAGAAAATTGCCATGTATTGAATGCCTGTTCTATGCTAGATTATTTACTTATATCATTTAGTTCTAATATGATGTAGGTATGTTTTAATATTATCTCTATTTTATTCATAAGTACACTGAAGTTCCAAGAGGTTAAATATTTTGTTCTAATTTGCAGAGCAACTGAGTGATAAAGCTGGACTTCAAACCTATATTGGTTCATTTATTCATTCTTTTATTCAACAAATATTTATTGAGCACACATAGTATATGTTGGGCACTGTGCTAGGTGCCACAACACATCCAGCTCTTACTCTCATGAACTGTAACTGTGTTGTGGCATTGTGTGACTTCATAGATGGTGATCTTTCTGCTATACCAAATCACTTTAGAAGAGAAAATATGAAGGAAATAGGAGGTTTCTAATGTTTTATGGAAAAGATAATATTTGATATAGATGTAAAAAAAGACCATTTTGTGTGTTATTTAGAAATATCCTTTGTGAGCACATGTACCCCAATGTTCATAGCAGCACTCTCAACAATAGCTAAAACATGGAAAGAACCTAAGTGTCCATCAACAGATGAATGGATCAAGAAGATGTGGTTTATCTATACCATGGAATACTACATGGCAATGAGAAACAATGAAATCTGGCCATGTGTAGCAACATGGATGGACCTTGAGGGTGTTATGCTGAGCGAAATAAGTCAGGGGCAGAGAAGGACAAATATCATATGTTTGCACGTATAGGAGGATTAGGAGGAACTTGACGGAGGAACAAGGGGGAGAAGAAGGGGGGAAATGGTAGGGGAAAGGGAGAGAGGCAAACCATGAGAGACTCTTGCATGCTGACAAAAACTGGGGACTGATGGATGTGGGGGGGAGGAGGGATGGGCATGGAGGAGGGCACTTGTGGGGATGAGCACTGAGTGTTATGTGGAAACTAATTTGAAAATAAACTATTTGTAAAAAAAAAAAAAAATGAAATATCCTGTGTGTGTGTGTGTGTGTGTGTGTGTATAGAATTAAGAAATTGATATTATTATTTTCATTGGTTTCATTTTTATTGAACAAGAGAATTATATATATGAGATATAATTCATATTTATATATGTATATACACATATATAATATCAGAAAGGTTGGTCATAGAGAAAGCGTTTAGTCCTAGAAAGAGTCTGACACTTCGGCACTCACCACTATAGACACCAGTGCCTTTTAGTGGCATTACCAAAGTATATATTTTTCTTTTAAGTTCTAAAACAAGCAAAATTTGTGTCTATAGGCCCAGGTTATCTAGAGGGCTTCACCATTAATAGTTCTCCCTAAATTACATTTAGAAAAAGATGAAGACCTCTGTGTAAAGAATACATTTATTCATCAATCATCCATGTATTTATTAATACTATGAAAAATATTTAGGATGGTTTGCCCAAATATGTAAAACAACAACAGAACTTTTAATAGAATAGATGTGGGGAAATAAGGCAAGGAAAAATAAGATAAAATTAAGTTGTGTTCTCTATTCAAAAGTATCCACAGATTTGACTCTGTTCTCAAGGGTAACTTAATTCACAAACATCATAATTAAAAACAAACAAAAACTGGTAGCACAGGGAAGTACCCATTCCTAAGTATGACACTTAAGAGAAAGTTTCTTCTTTAGCTCCTCCTAAAGAGGATCACAGTGCAAAGTGATGTACAATGGCCTTTAATACTTCCTAATATAAATACAAGTTTCACTGAGCCATTTCATTGCATCCAGTTGCATATAGTAAAAGAATTCTTAGAAAAGTGAAAAGAGGCATTGTAGGTGGACCACTGCGGTCCAGCCAAATTCAGTGGTTTATTTTAGAGAATCTATAAAAGTTAGTGAATTACATCTCTTGTAGATAGTTACCATTTACAATTTGTCATTCTTTTTTTTCATGTGATAGGTGACAGTGAATTTACACACTCTTAGAAGTTTGTTTTATTCACTACTGTAACATCAACGTCTAGAATACTACCTAGTACATACTAGATGCTTAATAAATATTTGTTGCATGGATGAAGAAATGTTTTTATTTGAGATATCTGTTTAAGTGAAAGACTTCTCAGCTATTTTTATATTTTCTTTGTCCTTAAATAAATTATGCTACTATGCTTTGGAGTACATCATCTTTACGTGGACCCCAAATTCATTAAATGTTGAACTCTGCTTATATGACTTTTTCAAGCAGATGATGAAATAAATGTTAGCCCTATCCAAAATTCTTTTAAAGAGTGTTCTCAGTAATAATGGCATGCTTGATTTTTAAGACTTTAAGATTTACAGTCTCTAAGTAAAGGTCATAAACATCAATAAAGCAGTTTATCACATGGAAATAGTGGTTCTTCTCAGGAGACATCAGAATCATACCAGATAGTTGAGTTTGGGGAAAAAAAGGATAGATTCTGGATAATGCTAGCTTTGCAATTTTTAGCTATATTTAAATAAAAGTAATTAACTCCCAAGCTTAGGAATTTAAGAATTTCCTTTTCTCCTGCCTGCTGGCCCTCTATTTTTAAAGCCGGTTTTATTGAAAAGTATTAATGTAGTGTGCATTTTTGTTTAAAATTTCTTCCATTGTTAAATATCACATTATGCTCGGATTCAGTGGACTAGTAGATCACATCGATTCTGGTATTCCTTTATTCTATATAATTATCAGGGATTAAATAATTTATGTGCAACCTAAAAGTTTATTCATAACATCAACCAGCATCTAACACATACTTGATACATTTCAATTATTTTGCCAAGTCCATAACCTAAATTTTGCCCAGAGCTACAATCTGATTTAGTACTATCCCTCTACTTCTAATAAAATATTAAAAAATCAGTCTTTCTGTATATTCCTCCATAATTTATCTTTTATTTTATTTGCCTTTCTTATTTACTGGAACCTTTTATTTTACAAGCTTTTTCCTACATTCCTCGCAATTACTATAACTTGCTACATCTGTAGAAACAGAGGATTAAGAATGCATGTAGTCATATATTTCACTCCTAACTTTGAGTGTTAAAACATATCTTTGCCATCACAATATGATAAATGTATAACTGTTTTGATTGACCATTAGAAAGTGAAATTTTCATGTCTTCTTCATTCACTTATTTCAGGTTTAACCACATTTGCCTTAAGAATGCCCTATCTTAAAATTTCTATTTTACAGTTAAAATCTATCACTTCATTAATTCTTTTTAAAAAATTAAGATAATTTATATGGAAAATATGAAGGATGGCAAATTTAGTTTTTCTTCTACCCAAAACATGAGAAAGTTAACTTGGTGACTTCCTGAGTCCCTTTTAATTATATCATAAAATCATAGAGCTAAGACAGAAACAAAATGATCTCAGGTTTTAGGGATCAATTATTTCATGTGTAATAGACAAAGAAAAATACCCAGATTTCTTGCCCAATGAAAATCATCGAGCTATTATAACAATCTGAGATTTCATTTTAAAATTTAGGTTATTAGATGAGACTTACATCAAATACCTCTGAATTATAAGAAATTAGAAAGGTCGGCTAATATATAAAATAAAAAACCCTGGATATCCTGGTTCTCAGCTTTTATTCAGTGGTCCCAAAGAACTGAGTCTTGATAACCTTAAAAACAATGTTTGGGGAACTACAAAGTATGGTTTATAGAAAGCATGATTTATAATTATTTTTAAGTTAATTTTACTACTCTGCCTTCCTTCTTTTTGGCTTATTTCACTCAGTTTGCTATTTAATCTTTAATTACAGGCCACAAAAGAAGTAATAGAACGGGAAGCACCAGGGATGGCCCTGGCAATGCTGATGGGATCACTTAATGTTACACCTCTGGGCATGCTCTCTAGGTAAGAAAGTCACCAACATGTTACAAAGAAAATCAATTCCATACCACTAATCTCTACAATAGGCTGATTAATATAAAAAACTTTAGCCTATAACACTTAAATTTGCTCCCTTTTCCCCCACAGAGTTAAGAGTCTTAGTATCCTCTCTAGTTAAATCTTAACCAGTTTCCTTCAAGTTTTTTTTTAGATATTATCTTTAAACTTTTAGAAAATATTAAATTATGCTAAAAGCTCTCAATCCTAACCCAGAGAAGAGCCCAGTTTATTAAGATATAAAATTATTTTTGTATGTGATTATTTGTAATCATCAATTAATACTTATTAATTGTCATTAAATTCTAGTTTAATAAAACTAAACACTAGAATTTTTTTCAATAAGTTATTCTCATATGTTAGAAGTTTTTAAACAGGTATATTCATGTGTGATCATAAAAAGAAGTTGAATTAATATTATTAGTACATTAAGTTAGTATATTTAAAACTGTGCCTTTGTTGATATAGATGTTGACATCCATTCTCTATCTGATGGTTTAGTCATTTGTTATTGTTTTAGTAGTTCTTAGATTAAAATCTTCTTTAAGGAGGACAACATACATCATTTAAGTTAAAGACAGAAGTATCAACTTGTGAGAACCTGTTGAGTTAATGACCATTAATAGACAGTTGATCTCTGAGCAATCTGAAACTACATGGCAATATTATAATTTAGGGATTCATAATCATCATGTATAGCCATTTGTTCATCCTGTGTACAATATGAATACAAAACTAAATATATCTATGTAATACATGGAATATAATCATAATGCCCTTTCTCTTACTTAGACAGGGTTTATATCCCATTAATGGCAACTACTTGAAGCATAGCTATAGGGAAATGTGAATGGGTCATTAGTTACTGTATTCTCTTTGCTGTCACATGTCCTGTATTATAACATTTCATTTTAGTAAGAGCAAAAAAGAATTACAACAGCATGTAGAAATTGTAAATTTAAAAGTCCATGCTGATCTTTAAGGAATTTGCATTGATTCTTTTAACCTGTTCTTTTTTTAACCATATCTATACTTCTGAGGTCAAGGGTCACATTTGATCCTTTTCCTCTGTGGAATTAAGCAGTGGCCTTTGAACATAAAAGAACTTTTTGTTGGCATACAAGGAATATAGTCAAGAAAAAAATTAAACTTCATCTCTTGTTGATTCTTTTATAATAAAAATCTAATTCAGCAAACATAATAATACTCTATTTGCCAAGGCGCTTATTAACCCTTAGGGATACTAAGGATAGAAAGAAATATAAGGCATAATCCTCACCTTAAGGATCCCACAGTTTACTAGGAGAACTTGTTCTTTGCAACTGTTAAGGTAACTCTTTAAGTTCAATATAGCTTTTTTTAGAAAGCTTTTCTTTTATAGTTTTCTTTAGGTATAGAAATATCACTTTCTGTCTTATTGAAAGATTTTTCTTTTTAATTCTCTTCTACCTTCTGAATCCACATAATTCTTGAGCACTGGACTATTGAGTAGAAAATTAATCAGCAGGAGTTGATTCTAAGTACTTTGGAATAAGCCCATCATTATGCTGAAGGCTTTGAAAATTAAAATAAATACACAGGATGATAACAGATTCTTCTTGCTTTTCTTTCTGTTCATTGCTTTATTTAACTGAGAGTTTATTTACAAGTTTAAAGCAGAAATAGTAGTCCGTGTATTATGCATAAAAAATTGTGGAATATTTTCTTAATTGTTCATTTTTTGTGAACAAGGCCTTTTTTCAAGGCCTTTTAAAAATATTACTGTCTTAAAACAGCCATGATAAGATTGATGTTTCCTTTCTATAGCATTGTTACCTTGTATGTATTTGTCTGTATTACCTAATTTGTATAAAATACTTAAGAACAGGAACTTTATCATATTCATTTTTACATCCTCAGACACCAAAACAACTTCAGACGTATAGTAAGTACTCAAAACATGTTTATTGTTATAATTACTGTTGATAAATCAGTGTTTCATCCTCATTCTATACAATTTTTTTCAAGGTAAAGTAATACACGGTGTTGCCTTGCCTTCCGATTGTTATCTCTAGAAAGCAGCATTAAATAAAATTAATTTTTTAAATGTCTAAATCTGTTTAAAATGGGTTTCATCTACTTGAGTAAATAAACTCCAATTATTTTGTGCAGAATAATTATAAGATAGTATCAAGTAATAGTTAAGTACATCACCACTGCAGCCAGACTCCTTATGTTTAATTCTGACTCTACTACTTACTAGCTACTACTTAACATTTTTTTGTTTTCATTTTCTCGTCTCTATATGAACATGTTAATAGTAACAACCTTGTTGAATTAAGTGAGTCCATATAAAGTGCTTAAAACAACCACCGATTCATAAGTCTTATATAAGTATTCTTCACTGTTGTGGTGGTGTTACTGGTTGAGAGCAAATCTTATGACAAAGTCTTCAGTAGCTTTCCTTCATAGTAGCTGTTTCATCTAGAAATATCTTTATTCTACTTTCATTCCTGAAGGAAGTTTTCACTGGATGTAGAATTCTGGATTGACAGCTATTTTCTTTCAGCAATATAAAAAATATTGTTGCACTGTCTTCTGGCTCTATATTTCCTACCAAAACTTAAGTGATTCAGAGAAAGCAATGCAAACAGGGAAAGCTATAGCTGTAAATGCTTACATTAAAAAAAGAAAGATCTCAAAAACAATTATATAACATTACAGCTTGAAGAACTAGAAAGAGAACAAATTAAACCCAAAGCTAGCAGAAGGAAGAAAATAATAAAGATTAAGACAAATAAATAAAATGAAAGTGTAATAACAATACAGAAAATCAACTAACCTAAATATTGACTCTTTGAAAAGATGAACAAAATTGAAAATTTTTAGCTATATTGAATGAGGGGAAAAAAAAGAGATAAGACTCAAATTACTAAACTCAGAAACAAAAATGGGGACATTACTACCAATTCTATAAAAAATCAGTACTATAAAAGAGTACTATGAACAATTGTATGCCAGTAAATTGGATAACCTAGATGAAATGGACAAATTCCTACAAACACAAACCCTACTCAGATTGAATCAGAAAAAAAAAAAAGAAAATCCAAATAGATCTGTAAGTGGTAAGGAGATTGAATAAGTAATCAAGAACCTACCTGCTTATAAAATGACTGTATCAGATATCTTCACTGGAGAATTCTACCAAACATTTAAATGTGTTTTTCTCCTTTAACCTACTACGTGGTATATTACCTTCATTGCTTTTCATATCCTGAACCATCCTTGCATTCTAAGAATAAATTCCACTTGATCATGGTGTATAACCCTTTTAATATACTGGTGAATTTTTCTTTGCTAGTATTTGTTGAAGATTTTTACATCAATGTTCATAAGGGATACTGGCCTGTAGTTTTCTTATCTTGCTGTTTTTTGCAGGGCTTTGATATCAAGGCAATGCTGGCCTCATAGAAGTAGTTAGAAAGTCCTTTTTTCCCATGTTTTAGAAGAGTTTGAGGAGAACTGGTGTCTGTTTTTCTTTAAATGTTTGGTGGAATTACTTAAGATAATTGTAGATTGACATGCAAGTGTAAGAAATACTTACTTAGAAATCCCATGTACCTTTATCAGGTTTCCCCAATGGTAACAATTTGTAAAACTAGCACAAAATTACAATTAGCATATTAACATTGATGCAGTCAAGATAAAGAACAATTCCATTACCACAAGGATTCCTCCTGTTGTCTTTCTTTTGCCACACCTACCTATCTCTTACCCAGCCTTTCTTTCCAAACCTTGGCAACCACTAATCTGTTCTCCATTTCTATATTTTACCATTTTGAGAATTTAAATAAGTAGAGTCATGTAGTATATTACCGTTTTTGGATTGGTTTTTTTCCATTCAGCATAATTCCCTAGAGACTCAAACAATTGTTACTTGGATCAACACTCCATTGCTTTTTATTGCTGAGTATTATGCCCTGGAATGGATCTATCATAGCTTGTTCCACCATTTTTTTATTGAAGGACATCTGGGTTATTTCCAGGTTTAGCTTTTATGAACAAAGTTACTATGAATTTTGTTTACAGGTTTTGTTAAGAGAAATTTCTGTTTTCTGGGGTACATACCCAGAGAACAGTTGGTGAGTCATATAGCAGTTGTGTGTGTTTACTTTTATAATAAACTGCCAAATTATTATCCAGAATAACTGCACCATTTTATGTCCCTGCCAACAATGTATGAGTGATTTGTTACATTTACATTATGGTTCACTTTTGGTAGTGTACATTCTATGTGTTTGGCACATGTATACTAACATATATCCATCTTTATGGTATCATACAGAGAATTTCATTGTCCTAAAAATCCTTTGTGCTTTGCCTATTCATCTGCTTTCCCTGTATTTTTTTTAAGTGTTTTATTTATTTCTGAGAGAGAGAGAGAGAGAGAAAGAGAGACAGCGTGAGCGGGGGGCGGTGGGGTCAGAGAGAGAGGGAGATAGAATCTGAAGCAGGCTCTGAGCTGTCAGCACAGAGCCCAATGAGGGGCTCGAACCCGCGAACCGTGAGATCATGACCTGAGCTGAAGTCAGATGCTTAACCAACTGAGCCTCCCAGATGCCCCGATCCGCTTTACCTTTCAATACCTGGCAACCACTGACCTTTTTCCTGTCTCTATAGTTTTGACTTCTCCAGTAGGTCATCTAGCTGGAATCATACAGTATGTAGCCTCTAGATTGGCTTCTTTTGCTAAGTAATTCCATTTAAGTTTCCTTTGTGTCTTTTCATGACTTGATAGCTCATTTCTTTTAACACTGAATAATATTCCATTGTCTGGTTATACCACTATTTATTTATCCATTCACCTACTGAAGGCCATCTTGGTTACTTCCAAGTACTGGCAATTATGAATAAAGCTGCTGTAAACATCCATGTGCAGATTTGTATGTGAACATAAGTTTTCAGCTACTCTGGGTAAATATCAAGGA